CCCTGGTCTATTCTGCCGTCAGCGGCATGTTTCTGCACATATGCAGAACAGTTTTCAGTCAGCTGCGCATGCGCAGCAATTTCCTCTCAGCGAACCAGTAGCAAGCAGGTTAGAAGAACCAACCACTGGTAACACTCCAATACCCAGAAATGTAAAAACAATGTTATTTTCTTTAAAACTGAATTAAGAACACTTCTTAAATATTAAATATTTGAAACATTCAACACTACATCTCCTGCCACGTTAATAATGTGGGTTACTAAGCCATGGCATAGATTTTTATGTGAGGTTACCACTATAAATTATTAAGCAAAATTATTTGCTTAAAACCAAGGTTTAAGCTGGAGGGGGGGAGAGGGGGATCCAGATATATCATCAAAGCAAGATATAAAACTCTAATTGCTCCCCCTAGTGGCCATATACATTTTGGCAGCCGGTTATTGCATGTCTAGTTAAAACAGAGGATAGCATAGTGTAGCAGAGCTAGAATTTACTTGAAATGATAGAGACCAATTTCCATTTATACCCTCCTGCCTTGATAAAAGACAAAAAACAGGCTATGATTTATAACTGACAATGGCCACAACTTGCAACAAGACCTGTAATGCATATTATGTCTATATGTTTCTAGAAGCAAGATTCTGTCATCCAGAAGACAAGTGTGTAAAAAAAAATGAAAGAGGAGGAAATTGCATTGTGCCAGAAAGCCAGAGAAGTCACACAAAAAATCCAAGTATTTTAGGCAGTTTTAAAACTCCAAATTTCTGAAAAGGTTTGATTGCAAAGAACTAGGCACCCATTATTGGAAAAGAGCGACACCTAGAGGTAATTGGGAGTCATAATTCTTTTCCAGCCTTTCAAAGAAATAGGGATTTTCGTAAGATATTTTGGTCGGGAAGCATTGAAGGGCAGGACAAGAGGGCAGAGAAGACAACTTGATTCACCCAATGCTCTTGAACCTAAATTATTGTTTTTGAAGTAATTTCTTCCTTCTCTGGAATCATTCATCCAAGGCAGAAACCTACAGCAGTGCGCAGTAGCTGCCAAAAAAACCAACACAGTTCTAGGCTACATAAACAGAGGGATAGAATCAAGATCACAGGAAGTGTTAATACCGCTTTATAAGGCCTTGGTAAGGCCACACTTTGAGTGCAGCATCCAGTTTTGGTCACCACGATGTAGAAAAGATGTGGAGACTCTAAAAAGAGTGCAGAGAAGAGCAACAAAGAGGATTAGAGGACTGGAGGCTAAAACATATGAAGAACGGTTGCAGAAATTAAGTATGTCTAGTTTAATGAAAAGAAGGACCAGGGGACACATGAGAGCAGTGTTCCGATATCTCAGGGGCTGCCACAAACAAGAGGGAGCAAATCTATTCTCTAAAGCACCTGAGGGTAGGACAAGAAGCAGTGGTTGGAAACTAATCAAGAAGAGAAGCAACTAGACATACTTAATTTCTGCAACCGTTCTTCAT